CATTTGTCACACAGAATTATGTTCTTTCTTTGGATAAAAAAGGTGAAAAATAAGATGAAACAATGTCTGAAGAAACAATATGCGAAAGATTTAATATCGATGACGAAAGCAAATAATAACCCAAAGCATGTCGAATTAAATTTATAAATCGAACGCATTGAAAACGAATTTAGAACAATGTTTTTTTCATGAATGAAAAAAATGAAAAAAGTTCTTTGCCTGTTCAATTGTCAAGTCAATTCGCTTCATTTTAATTTTAACGCAAATATTACGTGTGTTATTATATGATAAATTGCTTCTGTTATTTTGATTAATGTCATCAATATTTAAATATTAAAATAAAATAATTTTTTTTATGTTTTACTAAAACTTAAACTTCTTAATTTTGTTGTTGTTTGAAATCGATTTTTGATAATTTTATTCACAAAAAATCTTTATTAAAATAAAAAAAAAAATTGATTACTTTTTCGGTATTTTTGGATCATTCAACTATCTGATAAAATGACCTTCAATCAAAGAAAATTCCGTGAACAAGTGCAAAGATTAGTTAAACTAATTGATAAGCATGATCAACCTGCAATAATATGTAAGAATTTTTGTAAAATAGTTGATTCAGTTAGATCGTCGAATGGAGTCTTTAAAATCAATCAAGATCATTGGAGAAAAATAGATGATTATATCAAAGGAAAATTAAATGAATCTGTTTTGAACGAACAAGAAAAAAATCATCCACATCATAAAACAATTACCGATCATCTTGTAATTTGGAATAATTTGGACGATAAAATTGAAAAATACGTAAGTTTTTTTTGAATCAAATATGGTTTAATAAATATTTTTCCTGCAGAAATTTAAATTGTCAAACGAACATCAATTAGTGATTGATTTGAAAAAATTAAAAAAGAAGAAATGCTCTTTCGTTCGTTGTGAAAAGCATGATAAAAATTTTGAAAAACCTTTTGCTCTATATAAACATATCCGTATCCATCATCGGTGAGTTCTGTATATATCAACAATTTTTTTTATTCATCGTATTCGGAATTTTATTTAAAGAGAGGCCTATGTAGAATCGACAATAAATTGTTCCGTTTCGAGTGTCGAAATTAGCCGGGAACACAGCTACTGCAGAGAAAATTCAAATGATAATGAAACAAATGCTGAAGAAAAGGTTACTACAACTATTTCCATCAGTCATGATGATGATGATGATGTTGATATGAATTTCTTACCAAATTCTGATATTTCGGTTGAAAAATATTACGATTTTAAAGATGAACATGATTATTGTAAACAGTACCTTTGTGATACGGAAACAAATGAAACAAAAAATGTCGAAGAAAAGGTTACAACAACAATTTCCATCAGTCATGATGATGATGATGATGATGATGATGATGATGTTGATATGAATATCGATAATTCTGAACAGAATTATTTCTTAATAAACAATTGGAAAGATGTTGTCTATGATGAAATAGAAGAACTGCAAGAAGAATTAGAGGAAATAAAAGAAGATTCGATCGAGAGTTTATTTTTCGACCAGGTCACAACAAATTTATCTCAAAAAAGTCGATCCAGATTTTTGGATGTTGTCGTCAAATTGAATCAAATAAGAATCGAACATAATATAAGGTTTGCACAATTTAACTACTGCTATTTTTAAACAAAATGTGAAATATTTTTCTTTAATATTTTTCTTTAAAGCGTAAAAGCTATCAAATCTATTAGCGATCTGTATATGGACCTGATAACAAATCCACCAAAAGAATCATTTTTTAATGAAGGAATTTCAAAAATCACAAAATCGAAATATTTATTGGATAAGTCAATCAAAAGAATGCCTAATTACATCAGTCCAATAAGATACAAAAACTTAAAATACGACATTAATTTTGTATACATGCCAATCAAAAAAATCATTCCTCAACTAATGAGCGAAGCTGTAACAGCATCTATTCTAAAAGAGAATGATAGTAACGTATCTGCTTATGTGAAAGAAAATAAATTGGCTAGAACAATACGTTTAATTTTATATGCCGATGACTTTGGGATGGTGAACCCAATTGGGTACGCCAAAGGTAGACACAAAATTTTGGCATTTTATATGGACATCGATTGTCCGATCGAATTAAGACAAAAGTCAAGGTCTATTCCTTTTGTTATTTTGGCTGAAAGAAATAAAAATCTAAAATCTGAAAATTTAGTATTGGTATTAAAACCATTTATTGATGAACTATTGATTTTGCAGGTTTGTTATCTCATATCTGCTTTGTTTTGTGCGATTTTACTCATTGATTCATTTGTTGATAGCAACAAAAGTTTTATCTTGAAAAATTTGATATCGAATTACCAGTTAAGCTTGCATTTATCATTGGAGATAATCTTTCTGTAGCCGAACTGCTTGGATTTAGGCAGACATTCGGTCCCGGCTTCATTTGCAGGTGATTAGTCTTTTTGTGATGCTTGGTTAATATATGAATTACTTATTTCTCATTTAGGTATTGCAAACATACCTACAAACAAATAAAAAATCAAGAGATTCGATGTTCAAATCCACTTAATATCACACTATCGGATGAGTATGAAATAATGATATTTTCTGAATGTTAATTTATAATTCGTATTTGATTTGTAGAGTACTTCGGACTGAAATAGATCATGTTAAATCAATCAAAAATCATAAAAGTACATATGGAATAAAATATCCATCACCATTTTTAGATATGGATTTAAACATATTTAAAATATCACCACCTGATGTATTTCACGATTTTACTGAAGGTATTTTGATAAGCTTTTTCAATTAAATTATCATTATCGTTGCTATTATTATTGAAGGGGTTCTAGCTACATTAGTGTCATTCATTTTGAAAAAAACAAAGATCAATTGGGACGAGCTGGACAGGCGAATGTCCAGAATCAAATGGATCAACGACAAAATATCGATAGAACCGCAGTTCCAAATAAGTGGAAAAGCATTGAACATGAATGTGTTAAATGTTTCCGAATGAATGCTTATGTTCATTTAGCAGTTTGCGAAATTTTTCAAACAAAACCGAAAATCGTTACCGAATCGAGAATCAAATATATGAACAATAGCTGCTATTCCTATTAATAAATCACTCTTTAGTCGCAAAAATTATTCGATAAAGACCCTACTATCATAACATAATGAAATTGACACCGTTTTAAAGACTTGGTAGTTTCCTTGAAATGCACAAAAAGCTTTGATAAATTGAAAAAAAAACGAAAAAAATTGAATTCAATTTTATTTATTTATTTTTTTTGCTTAAACCAATTTCTTATTTTTTGTTTTAATAAAACAATGTATTTTTCTTCAATTTCAATTACTTACTGATGAATTACTGGTAAATTTTTGAATTGATATTTTAAAAGAAATTTGCTAACAACAAAAAAAATACTCATAGAAAAAGTTTCCGGGAACAAGTTGAAAACCAAGTTGAAAA